TCACGGAGCTCTTCCCGAGCCCCACTCTCCTCAGGAGCACGGCTGAGTACAGCAGTGATAAAACTACAGAATATCCTGAGCTGGAAAGGACCCGCAAAACCACCAAAGTCCATCTCCGGGCAGGACAGCTCCAAGAACCACACCACGTGCCTGAGACTGTTGTCCAAATGCTTTTTGAACTCTGTCAGACTTGGTGTTGTGACCACTTCCCTGGGGAGCCTGTTCCAGTGTTTAACAACCCACTGGGGGAAGAACCTATTCCTAATATCCAACCTAAACCTCCCCTGAGGTTCATGCCATTCCCTCGGGTCTTGTCACTGATCACCGCAGAGAGATCGGTGTCTGCCCCTCCTCTTCCCCTGGTGAGGAAATTGTAGACTGCAATGAGGTCTCCCCTCAGTCTCCTCCAGGCTGAACAGAGCAAGTGACCTCAGCCACTCCTTGTATGTTTTCCCTTCTAGATCCTTCACAATCTTCATGGCCCTCGTTTGGACGCTTTCTAATAGTTTTACATCCTTCTTACATTGTGTCACTCAAAACTGCACACAAATGTTCAAGGTGAAGCCGCACCAGCACAGAGTAGAGCAGGACAATCACCTCCCTCAGCTGGTCAGAGATGCTGTGCTGGATGCAATCCAGGACACCTTTTGGCTGCCAGGGCACGCAGTCACAAGGAGCACCAGTAACAGCTGGGAAAGGTGCCACCACAAATTAGAGCTGTGCTCATGTAGTTTCCAGCTGGACTTACAATTAGACTATCAGTTCATCAGGGGACTTTCCTATGCTTTTCTCAGCACGCATCAGTCGCAACAGAAACAAGTTACTCCCAGAGATATATGGAAAGGGTAAAGGATTCGTTTTGCTGACATAGAGAAATAAAGCAATAAGTTTTAGCTGGACATCACAACATAGTATCACTCAGACAGCAAAGGAAAATAAAGCATGGCCAGTCCTTGGCAGTGGAAACAAGCAAAGCTGAAATCACATCAGCTGAAGCTGTGGCTCAATATAGACACAGTGAGTAAGGGGAGGGCATGAAATCTCAAAGAAACCCCAACTGATTTTAGGTTAGACATTTTCAGGGTTAAAAAGTCCATGGATTCCCTCTCTTTTATCAAAGGCAATCACTCTGATGAGTTTTTCAGGCCTTCTAGCTCAAGACCTACACTTTCATTCTAAAAGTCTCAGTCAGTACAATATAATTTTCTTTCATTTTGTACAGCGGAGCAATGTTTTACAGAACATTTTATGGGTGTTTAGAACCCATATCTTAAAGGTAAACTAAAAACCTAAGCTATAAAATCCCATGAAAAGATGTTAAACATTGCAATAAGAAGACTACAGTAGGACAAAAAACCCTCACCCCATGGTTTTTGAAACATCTAGCAGAAAACTGAACGCAGAAATACTTGCATAATTCGCACTTTTTTTCTTTTATCTGAGCAAATAAGAAGAAAAATCAAGGCCTGAGGATTGTTTCTGCTGCATTACATTGCTGATAGAGAGAAGAATGTCTTTGATGTTCCTTTTAATTTACTAAAACCAGAACCCATTAGGACACAGCTTTTTTTCTTTGCTAGTTGCCAGTCCCTGAAAACAGTTCAGCTCAAAAGAGCACTCTAGCCTTTTTTTATGATTACCTACCCACCATTTGTGGATACATGCCATGTCAGGTTCTTCCTTGCTGCCATCTCCCTCAGTTTCTCTTGCCCTTCCCAACCTCTTCTGCAGATCTGCAGTGCAGGCTAAACAACAGCCACAAAAAGTTTAACCCCCCCCTACGTTACTCCAATATGCCTTCATTGTAAGCATCAGTGTGCATGTATGTTTGGCATTGGGGTGTGCAAGGCACATACTCTTTCTCTTTGCAAAATGTGGTTTTCTTTTTCTTTTAATAAGCTAGCCCTCAGAAGTGTTTAGCAAGTGAACGGGAATCCATCCCTGCTTCAGATTCAGTGGGAGCTTTGGCAGTTAGGACCACTGAAATACTTAATTACACAACATACTTCAGACCCTATCATCTTCATTGAAAGATGCCACATTTTGTCATCCTAACAGTGCCTTTAGTAACAGAGCACATAAGGCTGCCTGTAGTACATTTCAGATTGCATGTAGATAATTTGTTTCACCAAGATCCAAAGGTAACTTCCCAGACTAAAGTGTGAGACAACTTCTCTCACATTTCTGAGATGTTATCCATAATGAAATATGCCGTAACTGCTAACTCATTCACTGTCTCAGCTAACACGATTTCCTGCTCCAGTTCCCAGAGTTCAGTTCACGAAAATAATCCTGTCTTGTGTTTGGGTTCTTGTTCCCTAGTTTCTGTGTCTTTTGAGACCAAACTGGTATTTATGTTACTTCCCCACTTCCAGGGCAAATTTAAGAACTGTCACATTCGATCACATATTCTCTATTCCCCTGCAATTTTACACATTCCACCAGACACCTCTAAATAAAAGTTCCATTGTTAAATAACAACTGGCATTGAAAGAGGAACTGTGAGGCAGCTACCTGTTATGCTACAGTTCACCCTCTGCTTTAGACTGTTGTCTCCCAGAAGGTGTGAAAGAATTTCCCCACTCTCATATGATCCTCTGTCCTGCTTAGCCTCCTCTTTCACTGGAGCCATATTCAGGGCAATGCTTTTGCAGCTGTGGCTCCTACTCCTCTTAGCAATTACATTAACTTTAGTATCTTTGTACTGTTGTTTAGATTCTTTGAGTTTTTGCATTCTGTCTAGTCCCCATTGTTCCTGGAAAGCTACACTGTTTGTGTCAATCTGGCTGACATTTACTTCGTCCATTTGTCTTGAACCAGGATAGGAGTTATCCGTATGAATTATCTTTGTGGTAGCTGATTCCCACCAATTTAAGACCAACTACAGGGTTTTTCTCCATCCTCCATTTATGTAGCCTTCAGCTATTTCTTCAGTGTACTTCTCATTTACAAGAAGGTTCTGTTTTCCTCTGTATAGCAGGAATTGCAACAAAAGACATGTTCTTTTGGTTACAGCTTCAAGCCTGTACTTCTGTTTGTGCATTCCTCAGGACTTCTTCCGGCTGTGTCAGGGCATCCTTACCACCTTCTCTCTGTTGTTTTTCACCTGTTACAGATGTAGATAAAAGGTGCTACAGAATAACCAGCAAGAACTTCCCACACATACCCTTGGTCAGATAACATGCTGGAGTTTGTGGTGGAGATTACGTTTTTGCTTTCCCTTTGGAACAGCAAAAAACCCCAAACACCTTATATGCTTCTAGGAAGTATCTTAAGAATGCCAGTTAATTATATCAATATAAACAAAACGAAACAAACAAAACCCTAAAGATCTATAGAAGGCTTCAGATTCCACTAAAACAAAAATATGAAAAACTATAACAGATTTTGCTAGGATATGAATACAGGCCAGAAATCCTGGAATCTTGCAAAATCATTAAGTGAAACTAGCTATAATTTTTACTAAGTTTTACTCTGCAGCTTGCAAAAGAATTCACTACAAGAAGTAACTCATTTGGAGGGTGAGAAATTCTCTTCCCTATGGAAGCACATGGATCCTGCTGCGATCCATGGTGCTATGGAATAAGAAATGAGACATCCTGCTTAAGGAGAGAGTTGAAGTAATCTTTCCTAACAGTGTGACTTGCAAGGGTTATTTACTTACTGCTGAATGACTTCCCATTGCACATACACCAGGAAGCTTTTGACATTACTGTGCTTTCCACTACAGTGACGGCTACTCTGATTTATTACTGGGTCAAGGCTGAGGATGCAAAAAAATCAAAGGCTGTGTAAAGTATGATTAGATTTATGATGACAGGCTTCACCTGGAAACTGAGAGTTTGCTTTGTGAAGGATGCAAGGGGGGAAGCCTGCACAACACTGTAGATAGGAACCTCTCAAGTGAGCACACACGCACACACAGAGGGGCATTTGGAAGCTGAAACCTCAGCAGCGAAAACCTGCATCCACATTGCAATGACAGAAACAAGAGCGTCCTCAAAAGGCCCTTTGTGGAAGTTCTAGTTCTTCTAGTTGCCCAGGTTTTTCCCGAAGAAAATGTCTGAAATTAGACCCTCTTGCCAACCTCGATGCACTTTCCAATCACCTTGCGTTTTGTGGCAAATGTAATACCCAAATCCAGAAACATGATTCTCAAAACTGCACATCAGAACCCTGGTTCAGAGACAATGGAGTGAATCAGAAATCATCAACATTATTTCCAATGGATCCAGACAACTGCACAGTAATTTAACTTTCAGTTATTACTAGTTTGGGACTCACTGACCAGAAATACTGCTAATATATTTTTCTTCTGTGAACAATATTTGTGTTAAAAAACAACAGGTTTTTTTTCTCCTGCTCTTTTGCTGCTGCTGAAATTTGTGAAGAAATACATTTTTGTTAATGTTTCCAGTTGACTGACCTACCCCTTGAGAAAAATGTTTGAGGGCAGCGTTCTAGCCTGGCTTTGTGAAGACCTTCAGACAATTTGTTGGGCTATTCCCAGTGCTCTCAGATGACTAGTTTTGCTGAAAGGCTCGTTATCTCCTTGCAAATATCTTGGGCTATCTATTTAATTAAGTTCCTGGACCTTTGGCTTTGGGTCTGCAACAAATGTCTCTGATATACAGCTTCATACCACTCCTCCTAAGAATGGTTACTCTGATTGCCTCCTCTGGCTCCCTCACTTTCACAACCTGCCAAAACCTTTTACCTCAAATTCCTGTCTCTTCAGTTCTTCTGAGGCGACATCAGAACAAATGGGCTTGGTGTTCCTCCACTAAAGAGGTGTGTGGGTCTCTGAACCGTTGATCTCTTGTCCTTCATATCTGCAAACAATCTTGACTTTAACTATCCCGTTTTGTTCAAAATCTATCATTTTATAACAGACATACCATATTCAGAAATGATTGCACCGCAGATACATTTTGCTCTCTCAAACTATCCTTCATTCTTATTCACTCAGCAACCAAAAATAATTCCATCTCCACTTAGCTAACTTACCATATTAAAAATAATACTATAAAAATGCTATAGCACTGTTCAGACCAGCAACTAGATTGTTTCTCTTTGTTATGGAATGACACACCAAAAAAAAAGAGCAAGTCTTGTTTGCGTAGTTTTGGAACTTAAGGAAAGTAATTTTCAAGTACAGTGAATTTACCATAAAATATCCCTGGTAATCTCATTTTAAACAGAGTGCTCACTGAAAAGGTCACTTACACATACATCTGTTAAACTCCTCCTACGAAACAGAATCAACAAACCTTCCTGCCACTTTATGCAATGTCAATAAATACTTCCAAAAAATACCCAGACCTTGCAAAATCTTCCCCTACATCTGTTTCTAGTCATCACTTCATAATTCAGGGTACATCTCCCATCCCATTCCGGAAACCATTTGGACTTTATATAAAAAGATAAGGCTTCCTCCTGTCCGGCCCAGATACAGTTTATAGCAAAAATTACTCAAATGCTCTCCTAAATTATATAATGAACAAGGCAGATCAGTAAGTTTTGCCAGTCAAGGATCAGTGTTTTTTGGAAAGTAAGATCAATCAGTAGATGCTTTGCCAGATTTTAACAAGAACAGCTGGAAGGTACACTTTCAAAACCTTGTCCATGACATTACCCTCTAGTGAGCTTTTGCTCCTGCTGACAGATGCTAGTAGCTTGATCTTCCTGAGAGAAATGTTTTAACAGCCCTTTTCTCTTCCCTCAAATCTACTTTTGTTTCCTACTGCTAATGGTTTCTCGTCCCTCTAGAAGTTACAACCCCAGGCTCCCTCCCATTCAATAGCTGTCACAAAATACCTACACTTCTGTTCTTTACTCTTTTTTCTTCATTCACATTCATCTTCCTGGAGTCTTCCTGCCTTTATGTCACCCTAAAGACCTTTTCTCCCCATGTTGCTTCCCCATCTTTCAGTGAAATGTCACCATCCAAACCTTTGGAAAGCAAAAAACTTACGTTATGTTACTATACTTGAGGCCCAAATTCTGTGATTCCTAAACCATGTTTCACATTATTTGCTTCAACCAGCATTGTCCCCCACTGAACACCCTTGTCTAGCATTGAACATTGCAGTCAGAGGGGTGTGCAACTCCTTGTTACTTTCATTACTTTTTTTCTTTTCCAAAAGCAGAGCTTACAAACCCTGCCTGCAAACCAAGACCCCTTTGTATCAAATTCAACAGACACAGAGCAAAGTGAGCCAGAAAAGATGGTCCTTGTCTCTCTCTATTAAACAGCCAGAGCACAAATCCCAGTTTTGGAGCCGGCTCATTCAGCTTTGCCTCAGGGATATTTGCACCATGGTGTGTCACAGCGCAGCTGTGCCCTAAGTAAATTTTAAAAAACCATTGTACAGACTTGTGACAGGCAGACATAATAGAGAGGCATAAAACACTTGAAAAGCCTTAACCGTCAAGAAAGAGAAGAGCTTGTTAAGGACAATGTTTGAAAGAGAAATAATTTAATCCAAAAAAAGGCAAACCTGAGTCAGAACCTCCGGATAAAATTTCTGGCAGTGGATACACCAGCATGGAAATCACCCTCCAAGAACAGCGACAAAACCCTTGGAATTTTAAGGCTTAAGTACACTGGGCACAGAGCAGAGTTCAGGGAACAACATTAGATGCCATGAAAGGCTTACTCTGCTGCTAAATTCAGTGACAGAGAAATGAGCTGAAAGCTCTGGTGTTACTAAGGTACCTCTTATTCACAGCTCAACTCTCTTTCACTGTATTCAACATTCATTACAGGTTGCTGATGTGGTGTTTTCTTCTGTACTCTGATACGGATTTTAAGCTGGAAAACACTGGGAACAAGATTGAATTACTGACACAGATACATGAATTGGTTATTTGATACCGTCAGATTTTATGTTCATCACAGAAATCATTAAAATTATTTCCCTTCCTTCAAAAATGAGAGGAAAGACACAGGCAAATGTGAAATTGCCTCTAAACCCCACAGAGGCATTAGTGACATGGGCATTCACCTCAGCAGCCCAGCAAGTCATGTGGCTGGCACATGCTCCTGAGCAGCCAAGCCTTCAATAAAGATAAAAGCATCACTAAGTGCAGTCTTCCTTCTCAGGTGCCACAGCAGCAGGCATTACCCAGACTGAGGTCAAAGCACTAGAATAATTAGCCTGAGTCCGTGGTGGGCCAGTATTTGTCTGCTGTGATGACTTTACTGGAGTGGAGCTGCATTGCCAAAAGCCGCCTCTAAAACTGACCTCTGTAAATGCTCGTTCTAAATACTGAGGCTGAGTCCCGAGAGTGAGCGCGGGGCAAAAAGTAAAGACCAAAATGTTAAGACAAAGGAGGATTTAGGACACCTCTCCTGATAACTTTTCTGCTGAGCTAGGGGAAAGCCACAGGACAGAGTAATCTTGTCCCATGGAAGAAGTTAAAAAGGCACGAGCTGCAGCTGCTGCTGACGTGTGGTCAGGAGAGCTACTGGAGCGAGCAGCTGCAATTTGAGACGAAACTCTTTCCTTCTCCAGTTCTTTTCAGTCATATTTTATGCAACGTTAAATTAAGGTCAGATAAAGGACATGTTAGTAGTGTCCTTGCCAGTGAAAACCACAAGTTCACTGTTAAATTATGTTTATTTACTTAGTGTTTGATAAAAAGAGTTTCCCTTTGAAAGTCCATTTGAGGAACCTGTAAGGCTGAAAACAATATTTGGACACAACTCTGAAGAGTTAATGGAAGTTCTCTGTGCTCTGTCTGAAACCAGTTGGGGTTCCCTTTTAGCACATTAGTTGAATGTATACACTGGGAATATTTTTCTTTGTTTTATGTTATTGCAATTTGCAAAACTTACACTAATAGCCCAATTTCATGCAATTATCTGAATGCAAAACATCGTTCGGTTGAATTCCCATAACCTAATCCTACTAGTTCCCCTGGCTGTCTCACTTTCAGTTATGAACCAAGGTCTGCACATCAGATGAAATGCTGTTATTGTAAAAATGGATCCTTTCTTTAGAAGTTTTTTTCAGTGGTCTTCTCCCATACAGGCTGTTTTCATTGTCTGCAACCAAAGGCACTTTAAGAAAATCTGATTTTAACATCACAGGCCTGCAATACATATACTTTAGCTAGAGTGGTTTGTTGTGTTTTTGTGGTAATGACCCAGTGATGTTTGCACCATAATTGTACCTCTAAATGTCTCTTGAGCTGCACATATAGGGCAAAGTGTGGATTTATGAATACACAGGGGAAGGGGAAGAAAAGAGGAAGGCCATACAGAGAATTACATCCTTTTTTCCTTACATATATAACACAGCTAACACAGTTTTGGAAGGCAGGCAATGGATGATGTTAACACTACATTAACGCCTACTTGGTGTTCAAATCTGAGCATTCAGATATCATAAGGCTGGCTAAGGGATCATACATATCTGGTTTAGTATTTGCTTTTCCCTTTTTGGGACCTTTACAGTTTGTATCTTCAAGTTTTACTGCACAGTCTAAGAAAAAAAATTGGGCTTTTTTTTCTTTTTATGTGAAGTCCAAGTTTTTATTAAATCACATGACTCCAGGATCTAGGACTTCAAGAAAAATACCAAAGAAGCTGAGACTTATAAGATTCTATGACCCATGGTCCCCAAATCAAGTTAAAGAATTAACCCAGCCAAGTGACCTGCCTTTCTGGAAGGAAAATGTACATCTTGAAAAATGTGGATAACATCATACTGTGGAGTATACTTCCTTGAAGCTTTGGAAGGTTTGACGTCTGCTCTACTACATCCCTTTCTTCCTGTTCCTCTGAAATACCTATCCTGCATTTCCTCATTTGTATTCAATTTACTGTATCCTTGATTGATTACAGACCTCTCCTTTTGGGGAGGAGGAAACCATTCTTACATCCACTTTGGAGAGAACTTGCATTCCCTGACTCAACCAAGACATATGTAATAGATCCTTTCTAACTGAAGTTACACGCATATATTTCTTTGAAACTCAGTCTCTAAGCTCCATTCCTTTGCTTTGAATGCAAAGAAATAATATTTATTTCCTTATGAGGTAGGACAGACATCAGCCTCTGGCCTTGCCTCTCTCCTTTGTCTATAGAGGAAGGCTTTGATAACTAGGGCTTTTCTTGTGGATCAATACTATTACATGAAATCAATCTCAACCTTGATGTCACATTTTGGATACCCATAAATCAAAATAGTAAAATTAAATTCTTTTTTTCATTTTCACTGCCTTAAATATCTTCCATCTTTTTTTGTCCTATAGAAACAGCTGCCCCTCCGGGCAGTGAAATTTCTGTTCCTTATAAAAGCTACACATTTATCTGACATCATTATTCAGGTCTCCAAATGACCTTCATCAAAGAAGAGGAACTGGAGACATGATATTTTGGTTATTAAAGGGTGAAAAATAAGCAGAGGAGGGGAGGGAAAAAAAAACAAGTAAGATTTTAAAAAGTAGAATAAGAAAGAAAAACCACTGCTTTTACCATTGCATTTCACCTTTTACACACTTATTAAAGAGTCACACACCCAGATAAACACACCTAGATACCCCATTACTAGTTATCTTTAAGGAAGACTTCAGATAGTAAGGCAGGATTCTCCCATCCTATTTTGGCTGGCATGCTCTATATTAGCCCTTTCTCACTGAGCCTGCAAACATGGCCATTGTGGCACTTTCCTTATACAATATTTTATTTGTGAAATTACTGTTAGCCCAGAAGAATGTCTTGGGGAAAGTAAATTTCATTTTGTGCTCTATGCCAGCCACCTCCATCGCAAATGCCAAAGAATAAAAAAAAAAAAATAGATCAGCTCTCTAAGGATCCTTTAATTTTCTTCATCTGCTTTGTTAGAACTGCCACAGTTGCGTGCTCCTCGCAGAGCATCAGACAGACACGTGTAACATCTCCACTCCCTTGCACAGAGAATCACTCACAAAGCTGGTTTCCTATCATTAAGCCACTCTAAGAAGTAACTGAATGTGATGCAGGCCTCAGCAATTATTTAACATCATGAACAGACAGAAACAAGTGGACTGGCTGCCTTGATGCTGCAGCACTCCATCCTCACATGACTGTCTGGAAATTCTGCTGCCCTGAGTCTCTGGTTTCTAGTGAATGTGTAGTAATGCCCCAGCCTCTTGCTCGGGGATGCCTTTCACAGGCATGGAACTGTATAATACCCTTTCCAGCATTTATCTGTTACATGCACTGCTGGCACAGAAGTTTGCATTGGAACTGGCAAGGTTATTAATTACTATTCTGATTTAACCCTGTCTTTTGCACCTTTGCAACACCCATTTATATATATAGACACACACATATATACATATATATATGTGCATATATACACACACATGCATTAATATATATATACATGCATACATACATCTATAAATATACAAGCATTTGATGCTCTATTTTTGGAGCAGAAATCAATACTAGCTGCCCACTGCCAAGTGGCTCCTCAGAATGCGTGGCCATGAAATTCTGCATTAATAAACACCTGTACATGGGACACAGAGAAGGAAAAGGAAAAATGTTCAAATGAAGGCATCTTTCCATTTCCCGCTTGCAAAGCACTGTATAAACAGAAAATTGGAAGAGATCAAAATCCACATTCTTAGAGCTTCTTGTGTATCACATATTGTATTTCATTATACATTTTTCAAAAGGCTCCACCTACTCTTTGAGACTAGAAATCTTTTAATAGCATGAAGTTAGTCAATCTTTCTTTCATTAATATTCATATATATGCCCTAGTTCTTACATTTAAATCCACTAATGAAGATTCACTGCTGCTGCAGTCGAATGCTGTGCAGGACTGGGACCCTTTTGTGCTGGTAGCCCCTGTGGAGCGCTGAACTATGCAGTGGGCAAAAAGCACTAAACATCATTAAACAGCAGCCACTTCACCTGCTTTCTGCTCCCTTAGCCCTTCTGCTAATTCCTTGGACATCTTCAGCGCAGTCTCAGTCAATGGGGGTTATGTTTCCATTGCAGTGATGTGAGAGATAGGCACAAACTTGGGATGTCCCTGTCCTCTGTGTTGCAAAAGACATTTTTAATAACCTTTGCCAGGTTATTCAATCTTTTCATCTTTTGC